ATTGGGTGGTATTGGGTTCTCTGGGAATCCTAGAAAGCAGCCCTTAGATCTAAATGCGAAGCCCCGGCCCAGAACTCAACAAATCAAGTCTAAACCCTACACGCTGCCACGGCTCTGCAGAAGAGCACGGCGTGAGTTTAGGTGGCCTCAGCGTCACACTTGCTCCTCGTATCTAGTTCTCCCTCTGGCCATCTTAAGCCCCAGCTGCTTCTGAGGGCTTAAGGCTTCAATCGGCATGCACATCGGCTCGATATACGAGCCTCAAGAATTTGGGGTAGCATTCGTTGTTTTGGTATAGAGACATCCTGTAGCTTTATCCGAAGGCCAAACATATGGCTCTCGTAGTCAAGGGATCCCCACACCCACCGCGAATCTTCCGTGGCTTGAACCCCGAGGGGCCCTGAGTTCCAAACCCCAAACCCTAAACCCTACACCGTAAACCCACCCTAAACCCTAAACCCTAATCCTTCTCTAAATTCGGGTCCCTTTTCAGGTCCCCAATATAGGACGGCAGCCTTATAAAAAGGATCCTAAAAAAGGACCCGAATTTAGAGAACTACCCATTTGGGGTTGGGTTGGAAGATTTGGGGTTTAGGCTTCCCAAAATCACAAGGCATTCGAGGACAACGACTGTCCAAACGAGCAAGACCCTAAGCCAAATACTCTGGAACAAAACTGAGCCCTAAACCCAAAACCCAAAGCCCTAAAACCTAAACTGGAACCCTGAACCCTAAAATCTGAACCCTAAACCCGAAACCGTTCCCTGAACCCTAAAACCTAAACCCGACACCGTTCACCCCTAAAGAAGAAGCAGCTTGGACACTCGAGGCGGCAGTCGTGGTACGCTCCACAGAACGGACCTTGGCCGTTCGTGGAGGAGCTGCGAGAGAAAAACAATGCTTAGGGTTTAAGGTTTAGGGTTTAAGGTTTAGGGTTTAGGGTTTAGGGTTGAAGGGTTTGGGTTTAGGGTTTAGGGTTTAGGGTTTAGGGTTTAGGGTTTAGGGTTCTAGATTCTCCTGACAAAGATCATATGATGCTGCAGCTAAATTTGAAACTCTTCGTTCTCCCTAAACCCTAAGCCCTGAACATATACCCGAAACCCTAAACCCTAAACCCTCCAAAACAAGATTCCAAGATGTGCCTGGGGACGGCCTTCTTTGCATCACCGAGAAGCCTCCGCTGCTGGGAGTCGAGGCTCACGAGTTGGGGCTCTAAGGGCTTCACCATCTGTCAATCTTTTTACCGACTAAGCTATCTATCTACCTATCAATCTATCTATCTATCTGTCTATCTATCTATTTATCTATCTATCTATGTATCTATCTATCTACCTGTCCATCTATCTATCTATCTATCTATCTGTCTATCTATCTATCTATTTATCTATCTATCTATCTGTCGTATCTATCTATGTATCTATCTATCTATCTATCTATCTATCTATCTAGCTGCGGTCTCTGTCTGTCTGCTCGTCTGCCTGTCTGTCCGTCTGTCTATTTTCCATGGAGCATGTTGTCCATGATGTTGAGAGTTTGTTGGATTGTCTATGCTATGTTCCTGTAGTTTCGTTAGTCGGCGCTGTTCCTGTTCTTCTTCTTACCAGTAATACTAATCCCAACTTTATTGTTACTCCATGTTTCCTGTCAGTACCGCGACTGGTATTCCTCTTATTACCAATCTTATTGTTGACATTGCATGTTACTAGTATTATTGCTATTGTTATTTATTTAATTCCTAATTCTTGTTTTTAGTACGGTTCATATGTTATTACAATTACTGTTCTTTTTATTGTTACTCTTACCATTATTATTACTACTAATATCGCTGTTACTATTTTTGGGCCTGATTACCAATCTTATGACATGAAGATTCTATGTTTGTTCTCTTGGGCGTTGGCCCTAAACCCTAAACCCTTGTCTTCGTTTTGTCCTCCGCTTGCTCCGGGTTTAGGCTTTGGGGCTGAGGGCTTGCTGAGGATCCCCAGCACTCCACTAGGGTGTGTCTAGGGTTTAGGGGGAAAAAGGGTTTCAGGGCTTAGGGTTTAGGGTTTTAGGGTTTAGGGTTCAGGTTCAGGCATTGTATATCACTGTCTGGATTTGTCTGGGGGCTTAGGCAACTTTGTCAGAAACAGCGCACACCAAGGCCGATCGATACCAACAGCGCCAAGAGAATACGATGCCTGTCTCTGAAAGTGCTCAGATCTGTGTATAAACTACACTGCATCATATGCTTGAGTAGGGAACCTCCATTCTTGCAGAACAGGACCCGCATTATCATATGGTTTGAGGAATACTGGGGCAATGTAGGTTGAGCTATCGGTAGCCGAGCTGCTCTTGACTGATGACGTCCGTCGCGTTGATGTCCTGTAACTTGTAACTGGGTTCGTGTTGAGAAACTGCAACTTTTGAAGTTATGTTGCCGCAACAATAATATGAAGCACACAGAATATCACATGCTTTCCTGACCGTGGTGACGTAGATGTCGGGTCTTAGTTCCTCATCACGAGCCCAGTTCAAGCTGGAGGAGCCTTTGCGAGAAAGCTACATCGTTGAGAATCCCTTTCAGTTCCTGAACCCTAAACCCTAAACCCTAAACCCTAAATCCCTAAACCCTAAACCCTAAACCCTAAACCCTAAATCCCTAAATCCCTAAATCCCTAAACCCGTAATCTAAGCCCTTCGGAAAGCTCGGTGATTTGGGGTTCAGGCTGATACCCCAGCCTCGCAAGCGGCTTTTCGGGGCTCCTTAGGTCATGGGTTTAGGGTTTAGGGTTTAGGGGTTTAGGATTTCGGGGTTCCGGGGTTTCGGGGTTTAGG